CTGCAGATCTTGTGGTTAGTATAGCCCAAGTCACAATCCACTACGCCACCAGGGCTCCTCACAGAGAGGCTATGGGGACTCAAAGAATGGGTCCCCTCACACAACCCAGGCTGAGGGTGTTAAGAAACACTTCTTAGAGGAAAAAAGTGGCTCCTAGTCTTAGTAAAATTAATGGAAATGGAGACAGGGTGGTCTAGGCTGAAGAGCAAAAGAAGTCTGAAGGCAAGTGAGAAGGGTACATTTAGGGGAAAACCAAAACATTAGGTTGCACCAGAGCTCAATACATATTAATTTCCTTCCTTATCTCTCCCTGGGGAAGAAATTGGACCCCATTTCTCCTCAGGAATAACTCTATGGTTAGGACTTCTGGGAACAGGAGAAAACTATATTGGCCCTCTTCACCCACTAGTTGGCCTGGAACTGGCTAAAAAGCAGCTACTGTACATAGTTTTCTTCCAGAGGGAACTGGATTTCATTTACCTCACGTGGACATCAAGCTGCTTCAAAAATTGCCCATATTCTTCACGTAGAGCATCCTTTTCTTGCTGCAAGCCATACAGTTTCTCTGACAATTCCTGGTTGCTTTTGAGATGCTGAAAAAACATTAAAAAAAAAAAAAAAAATGAGAATACTCGGTGTTGGTAAAGCTATGAAGTGTGAGGGAATGTAAATTAGTAAAGCCTTTCTGCTGAAAAAAGGCTGACTGATTCCACCTTTGAAAATCATGGTAACTTCTTGTGATTCCTGTACTTCCATTTTTCCTGAAAACCTTCTCCCCAGCCTTTCCAATGGGTTTGTAAGCTTCTAACTCTCTATATTATACAGGACTGCTATGAGTCAGAACTGACAGCACTTAACAACAACAACAACAACAATTCTTTATACTAAAAATATTCATCGTAAGAACTTTGTGACCTAATCCTAAATGAAAAAGTATTTGGCTCAAGAAATGGCCCTATCCTCAAATATGAGACTCTGGGATTATTTCTTGGAACTGAACAGATTTGAAGGCAGTGTGATCTTATCACCAGTACTAGCAATTTATGGCAAAAAAGTTGATAAAATGATCATGTATTGCTGTTTGTGAGGAAGTGCTTTTGGAGACTAAGTGACTAGAACAAAGAAAGCTACAGTGAAATTGAGAACTACAAGGACTGTAATATTGTCTGACCACATCTGACCATGCTAATTGCCCACAGGGAGAAGATAACATGTTAGTATGCCTATAAGGATTTAATTATTGGAACAGACACAGACACAGTCAGAAACCCAGAAAGCTTCTTTTAGTATCTTGAAAGAACCTTTTCTTTATGTAGCTAGCAGGCCAATGTAACACACATAAACACACACACAATCATAAATGTCATCAAGTAGATTTCAGAAGTGCCAGACTAGTTGAACCAAAGTCTTGCCACATCTCTTATCTAAAAAATAGGGCTTTTGTTGGTGTTACATGGAAGAAACCTGAGAATTGGAAAAAAGGACATTTGAGAAGATTCCAATGACTTTGAATGTCCAAATTCCACTGAGTACTCCTTCTCTTGCTTCCCAAGGAGTTTACCTACCCCTTGGTTTGTAGACTCTCTATTGATTTTATCTGAGACAGTTACCTTGTAAGAGGTTGTCTAAACCTAAAACCAAATTGAACCCACTGCTAGCGAGTTGATTCAGAGTCATATTTACCTATATAGGGCAGAGCAGAACTGCTCCTTCAGGTTTCTGAGATTGTCTATCTTTCTGGAAGCAGACAACCTCATCTTTCTTCCACAGAATGGCTAGTGGGTTTGAGGTTAGCAGCCCAATGCTAAAAGAGACTGTCTACTCTCCTTAAAACCTAACCCTACACTACTACTTCTCATTGCCTCCAATCCTATAAGTAGAGTCAGGCTCCTAGAACTTCCTGAAGAGTAAGGATTGAATACAGGCACTAACATAGGAGGAGAAAACAGACATATTGAAAACAATTCTAAGATTTTCCACTTTATGTTGACAGATACCTGAATGTATTTTTAAGGTATTATACTAGGAGGGGAGTCCTGGTGTGGTGCTGTGGGTTAATGTACTGGACTGCAAAGTCGGTTTGAACCACAGGGTCAGGAATTCAAGCTCATCAGTCACTCTTCGGAAACCCTACATAGGGTTGCTAACAACCACACTAGGAGGGGATATATGTTGACTGGGTCTAACTTACTGATATAGATGCTGTTTTGGATTGAATTGGAGTCCTGGTGTGGCACTGTGGGATAATGTACTAGACTACCAGGTCAGTTTGAACTGCAAGGTTGGCATGTCAAATTCACCAGCTGCTCCTCGGAAACCCTATACAGGGGTTCTATGAGTCAGAACTGACTCAAAGGCACTCAAAAACAAAACATGGATTGAATTATGTTCCCCTAAAATATCTACTGATGTCCTGGCCCCTCTATTTGTTCTTGTGATCCTATTTGGAAACAGAGTGTTTTTGTTAATGAGGTCTTGGAGACCTGGTGTGACGCTGTAGGATAAAGCACTGGACCACAAGGTCAGCTTGAACTGCAAGGTTGACCATTCAAACCCAACAGTCGCTCATCAGAAACCCTATACAGACAGGGTCGCTATGAGTCAGACCTGACTGGACAACACTAACAAGAGAGAGTAGGGTGTGTTCTAAACCTAGTCACTTCTGAGTCAGAGAAAGAGCAGAACAGACAGAGAAACACACATAGGGGCTGACACCAAATGAAGACAGACACAGCAAAAGCATTACAAGCCCAGGTGTTCCAAGGATTGTTGGCTACTGGAAGCTGAAAGAGATAAAGAAAGACACTGCAGAGCCACTCCCCTGAATAAGAACTTCTAGTCTCATACACTTGTACTGCAGGAAAATACATTTCTGTTCTTTAAGGCCACATGCTAGTGGTATTTTTGATACAACAACAAAGGGTAACTAAGACATTAATCCCGAATTCAGGATTTAATGTGTTAACTTAAATATCTAAGAGTAATTTTAACAGCTACATGGCTGGTTGGCTGAAATGTGGATTAACACTGGCCTATATTAAATGACATTAAGAGTCTATACTTCCTTGGTATAAGGTAAAGGAAGGAATCCAAAGACTTAAAACAGATTGGAAATCTGGAGTAGATTTATTAAAGGGTGATCTGCTTATTCAAATCTTTACCACAGGGATTCAGAAGACAATCCCTTTACACCAAAGCCTTGTAAATACAATGGTGAGGGGAGCACCGGATTCCTTGAAATGGCTATTCTATTGAGGATGATGGTGGAAGGTGACACCTTATAATGGCTCCCTTATAAATAGGAGTAATGGTGCTACAAAGTGTCAGAGATAAAAAATGACAATGCTTAGTCCCCAGACAGAAGAGGAACATGATTACTGTTCGTTGGTAATAGGGCCAGAGATGTAATCAAAATGGTTTGACTTGCAGAAATCCTTGGTGATGGTTAATTGATCACAGTAGTCTAGAATGAAAATCGATAGAGTAGACAAAAGTATTACTTGAGTTGTATTTAAAAATAAATAAACAGAACTCTCTAGGTCAGGTGAAAAGAGGCCCAATTTGAATGACAACATAGCATGTAAGTAACAAACTCTTACTCAGTCCCCAGACTGCAGCAAGTTCACAAACCCAGAGTGCTTTGAAGGATGAGAATGTTAGGTTGTCTTGAAAAAAGACCCACTGACACTGTTGAAGTGTGCACTCTTCTCTCAAGTCTTCCCCAGTGAGATCTATGGTCATTTATCAAGGTGACTGGAGAAAGGGAAGTGTATAGACATTTTGAGGATTGCAATACAAGGTAGCCAGTACTAATAACCTTCTTGTCTAAAACACCACTGAGGTTCACAGTTCAGAGCAAAGACTTAGAGTATTCAGGTGAAAACTAGAACCTAAACTCTGGGTATGTCTTAGAGTATGTCTACAGTGATTCGATGATCCAACATATGTTATACAGTAAGCCTAGTGGATGTTGTGAATTTCTCCTTTGGTTATTTCTGCAGTTCTGGAATGCATAGTCACAATAGACAATCTGGAATAGCAGATTCTCCATATTGAATATTGGACCTGAGCAATGAGGGCTATTAACGGTAGAAAAGGCCATGTGTTTGGAGGACCTTTTCATATTCTGAAATCAACATATCCCACACTTGCTCCTTTAACCCATTTATTGAGTAATTTTCAAGGTTGCAAGTTTTTAGTGGTACCCAAAACAAGAGTTGTGTCTGATCCAGGCTGCATGTAAGCTACACGATGATACAGGTTCCTGTGCTATATAGAGCTTCTGGCAAGCTTTAGTAAAATAATTTCATTTTAGGATTTGGGAAGTAAACCATCACCTCTCTCCATAACAACTACTTTCTCTTTGAGGAAAGACTTTTACTTGGGACTGAACCCTAGTAGAGACTGAATGTTTGGCTATGAAAAATCAAATGATCAAAGGACCTGAACTATTCTTCCTGAAAGTACATATATTAGTCATCAACCATTAAGTTGGGCATGTGCAATAGGACTCTGTCATCAAGTACTTGGTCCTGAAGATAAATGAACCTGAACAGACCCTAAAGGCATAAAGTTACATGAGTAGGTGGTACTTACTCTGAACACTGCCACCTCTCTGAACCCAAACATACGGCTTTAGTGGGAGTGCCCTATGACAAGTGACTGAGAAAGCATACATTTAGATTGGATTTATGGAGTTCTGGTCTGGCACTGTAGGATAAGCACTTGACCACAAAGTCGGTGGCTCAAATTCACTAGCTGTTCCTCGGAAACCCTATACAGGGTCGCTATGAGTCAGAACTGACTCAACAGCACTTAACAACAACAACAGCATGCACTATATATTGTGACCATTTGAAATAGCATTGTTGCAGCATTACGACATTATGTAGGCTTTAAGAGTAGTGGGGAAGGGAAATCTTTTCAGTGGGCAAAGCTCATGTTCATTTTGCCTGAAAGGAGAGATGGGCAGAGGTGTGGGTCTATATTAATTCTTTTCTAATGATTTTTCAGATGACCAAGGATTTGGAAAGAACAAGACTGAAGGACTGACAAAAACAAGTCTGGGAGGTGAGCCTGAAGTGGAAATGCTATCCAATAGAATTTTCTAATGATAGAAATACTCTGTACTTTATAATATAGTCCCCACTTACCAAATGGAGTCCTGGTGTGCTGCTGCGGGATAATGTCCTGGACCACAAGGTCAGTTTGAACCACTAGGTCAGTGGTTCAAACTCACCAGTTGCTCCTTGGAAACACTATACTATATACTATGCTATGAATCGGAGTGACTTGACGGCTCTTAACAACAACTCACCACATATGTCTACTGAGCACTTGAAATGTGGTTAATACAACTGACAAACTGAGTTCTAAATTTTATTTAGTTTTAATTGTAATTAAAATTTAAATAGCCACATGTGGCTACTGGCTACCATATTGGATAGCATAGGCATTACTGTTATTGTTGTTAAGTGCCATTGAGTTGGTTCCATCTAATAGTGACCTTGGATAGAGTTTCCGAGGAATGGCTGGCGGGTTTGAACCAGCAACCTTGTGGTTAGCAGTCCAGTGCTTATCTTATAGCACCAGACTAGGACTCCAACACAGGCCTGCAGTATTAAAATGTGTGTTTCATGAGTTTGTGCTCACCAGAAGGTATCTAAAACAGAGGAGGTCCTCAATAATTGGATGATTTTTTAAAAAGTACATTCTGTAGATGGTACTTAGCATCTTTTTCTATCATCAGTTTGCTTGTTCAGTGGACTCAAGCACAAATAACACAGTGGCAGGAATCTGTATTTTGTAAGGAGACATCACAGGTAATTTATTCAACTTGCCAAAAGCTAAGATCAGTTATGAGCAACTGATATGGTTGTCCTCTGAAGGGCCAGCCAGCCACCTGGTATCAGGTTTATTAGATTGGATTCCTTCCATCATGGAGAAAACAATTCGTCTTAGTGTAATACATACTCATTGTAGATACGAATTTGCTTTCTCTGTCCATAATGATTTTACATGGATCACCCATCTGTGAACTTATCAAATTCTTTATTTCCTTTCAGGATAATTTTCTAGCAAGAGAAGTAAAACAGTGGCTCATGTACATGGGAGTGATGTTTAAGGTTATATGTCAACGTGGCTAGGCCATCATTCTCATTGGTCTAGCAAATACCATGCAATTATCCTCCATTTTGTGAGTTGACGCAAGTGGCCAATCCGTTGAAAAAGGAGTTCCCTTGGGAGTATGGCCTTCATCCAATATATTTGTACTTTTTGGCACAGCAAAATCTCTCTTAATCTTGCCTTTGATCCTGGAGTTACTTTGTTATCGTGTGACTTATGGTTTTGGGATGCGAGCCAGCAGTCTGCCGCCTGACCTGCTGATTTTGGGATTATCAGATGCTGTTACTAAGTGAATCCAGAGAAGTTTCCACAGATTTGGGACTTTCCAGCTTCTACCACTGAGTGAACCATTTCTTTGAAACAACCTCTCTCTCTATATTTATATATATACTTTACTCGTTTTGCTACTCTAGGAGAACCCAGTTCTAAGACAACTAGATTCATGTATCTCTCATCATCCATAAAACCTAACAACCTGATAGAACAGTGGAATGACCTATTGAAGACTCAATGATAATGTTCACTAGGTGACAACACCACAGAGGACTGAGGTGCAGTCCTAGAAGATGACATATAAGCTTTAACCTGTGATTAACATATGCTACTGTTTCTCACATAGCCAGATACATAAAGAGGCACCGTGAAGCAAAAGTGGGAGTAGTTTCTCACACCAGTACCCATTGTATATTATTGAATTATTGGTGGTTAACTTTATAATTGGAAGCCTGGTATGGTGCTATAAGAAAAGCACTGGACTATAAGGTCGGTTTGAAATTCAATGTGGTTCAAACCTATCAAGTCACACTATGAATTGGAACCCACTGGATGGCACTTAACAACAACAACTTTATAATTATAATTAAGATTTTAAGTTACACTATATTTGTATGGATTTAGACTAAGGTAATAGGAGTTAACATTCTTCCAAAGGATCACAGATAGTGATGGAACTTTGAATGTTTCCTTTTTAAGGAGAAGTTTATTTATTTATTTATTTTAATGCTTTATTGTGAATTATGTTTTATAGTTTACATGGGAGGACATCAGCTTCACATTGATCTCGTTGTATATCATTTCCTTGCCATGGTTACAATCCCTTCCATGCATCATCCATCAACCAAAGGGTATACCCCGCGAGCCTGGCCCACGGTTGTTCACATACAGCCCCTCTCCCTCTCCAGGTCCAAAGTTTCCAGCCACTCCATCTCCCCATGTCATCATCTCTACCTCCATCCCTGGCATCACTGCTTCTCTGGGTAGGGTTCCATTCTCTGCTCTTCTCCTTTGATGATCCCAGGGACCTCTGCTCCCAGACTGCAGTGTTACTCACTCCCTTCCCTTATCCCAAAACATCCACCTTTACATTTCTAGCCCATACAATCTGTCCTGATAACAATTGTTCGCTATTGTATCACAAGAGACCTATCTGCATCTCCTATCATTAACTCTGACTAGGCAGAATTGATACTACTCAGTGGAGAGTCTACCTTGCTGCACGCCTTCTGGATCTAGGTTCCCTCTTGAAACCTTGTAAGCCAGTCACTTCTTGCCTCTGTTGCCCCCGCCCCTAATTCTGGGTAGCCAATGTCCAAGTTGCCCATATCTGTCCTCTCTGTGTGTGGAGAAGGTGGAATGATCCTCGCTGTGAAGATTTGTTCACTCTTTTGAGCTACTGCTTCCATAGGTGTATGTCAAGTTCATCAAATTGTATCAATTTTTTTTTTTTTTCCCCTCTTCTTTCTTCTTCTGTTTGAGCTCTGATCATTCAGACATTGAAGCCAGGTCAAATGGGTATTATCTGCAAGTGTGGAAGTTCTTATGCATATGCCCTCTCTTCTTATCAGCTGGATGCTTCACTCTCCACTCTAGTCCTCTGTGGCTATGTCACTGACTCTGGGTCAAAGAGTCCCCTGGACTTGGCACACTGCTGGCCAACCAGGTCTTAAGGAGTAGTTTATTGTATCTTCATTTACATGAGTCACAGTGGATCATGTTATGTGGAAACATAATACTCTTCTCGTTGTTTAGAAAGTTAACTATGGGTGCTGAGTATCCACAGTGGACTGTCCTAGAACTCAGTAAAATTCCTACTTATTTCAGCTCTCCCTTATGCTACAAGATTGGAACTCTGAAAAATGAAAATTTTGAACTCCCTTGCCAGCAGCAATCAAGTTTTCCATTTAGTTTCTGAAAATGAGAGATACTTGGAAAGCATAATAGTAACATTCCAGCTGTCAAGTTGATTCCAACCTGTGGTGATTCCAGGTGTGTCAGAGTGGAAGTCTGCTCCATAGGGTGACCTAACCCACCAGTGGCTTTTAAAATATGTTTTATTGTGAATTATGTGATAGTTTACATGGGATAACATTCGTTTTTGCCATGGTTACAATCCCCTCCATGCATCATCAACCAACCAAAGAGTATACCCTTCAAGCCTGCCCGCATCCCTAGTCATCAGCACACAGCCCCTCTCTCTTTTTGTGTCTAAAGTCCCCAACTGCTCCATCTCTCCATGTCATCATCTCTGCTTCCATCTCTGGTGTCACTGCTTCTCTGGATAGGGTCCAGCATCCACTCTTCTCCCTTGATGGTCCCAGGGACCTCCACTCCTAGACTGAAAAGTTAATCACTCCCCTCCTTGCTACAAAACATCTACCTTTACATTTCCAACCCTCACAATGAGTCCTGATAACAATTATTCACTACTATATCACAAGAGACCAATCCGCATTTCCTTTCATCAGCCCTGCCTAGACAGATTGGATATTACTCAGTGGAGAGTCTACCTTTCTCCACGCCCTCTGGATCTAGGCTCCCTCTTGACAGCTTGTAAGCCAGTCACTTCTTGCCTTTGTAAATGGCTTTCTTTTGAGGCATCTCTGGGTGGCATCCCAAACCTGCAAAGTTTGGGAGGGCAGAGGAGCACGTTAACTGTTTGTACCACCTGGGACTCCTGTACTAGCATAGAAGAAGGAAAAAACATGATTCTCCTGTAGTACTCATTAGTACCAGAAAATAGGTAGATAGCAGAAGAAATATTTGTAGGAAGTTTTGAGGGGATGTTCCTGTAAGCCTCACTTTGGGTACAGGAGATAGATTCTCTATCATTTCTGAATTTATTAAAAACCAGCAGTAGTTCTTTCTGACTTTTCACTGACTCCAAATACACTCTTTTAACTGTTCTGAAAGTATCTTGTTATTGCTGTTAAGTTGGTTCAGACTCATAGCAACCCTGTATAGTGTTTCCTAAGAACAGTTGGTGGGTTGGAACCACTGACATTTTGGTTTACCAGTTCAGTGCTGATTCTATAGTGCCACGCCATTCCATATTAAATCCCTTACTGTTTGAGATACCTAGAGTAGATTTCATTTTCCTGACTGAACCCTGAAATTAATGGATAAAGTACTAAGCACTCAGTAACAACTGACCATTATTACCTATTATTCAGGCCCATGGAAATAGGAAAACTGAGAAGTTTATTGGCTTTCTTACCTCATCAGATTTTCTCTTTTCATTTTCCAGTTGTCTAAGTAGGGTCTCTTGCTGTTGAATTCTGAATTGTTGCTGAGAACTGGTCACTTCCAGTTGATTTTCTTTATCCTGTAAGATCCTTACTTGCCTTTGGAGAGCATCTAAATTCTGATCTAGGAGTTTCCTGAAGGCAATCAATGCACATTAAATCACAAAGAAAACTGCAAAACTTTACAAATAAAAGTCTTAACCTGAAAGATTTTTTCACTATTACACAGAATTACTTTTTTTCCAATTGGGGGGGAATGTGTGTCCATAAGGTAAAGAGACCAATAGAGCAAACCTCCTTTGAGAAACAAGTTTTTCTTAGCATTCTCTTTACTCCTCAAAACAACTCTATAAGGAAGAAATAAATTCCTTTATTCTACAGAACAAGCTGTGGTGCAGGCAGGTTTAATTAACTGGTTCAAGGTCGGACAGCTTGGCTCCAAGTCCAGAATCCCATATTTTTTCTACCCTTCCTCATAACCTTATAAATTGAGCCATTTGATCTGGATTCAATACAGAGTTGTTAGTTATAAAACATGACTGATACTAATGTAAGCATGCTAATACTGCTGTAGATGGATTACAAATGAGTCTGTGTTTGATGAGGAAACGTGTCCGTTGCAAAAGAACCATAAACACTTTGCTCCTTCAGAGGAAATATCATCAGACAACAGATTGTGGAAGCAGGTTCTGAGGGTTTCAGATGAACTCGTCTGGAAGGCAATTCATCCAGAAGAAGGTAATGATGAACTAGCACTAGTGGGCAAAACTCTCACCTATGTGCTAAGGCACTAACATACTGATATTGAACAAATGAGTTTGCTTTCTGTTAAAACAAAAATTCATAGTAAGCCAATAAAAGAAATGGATTGAAGTTTATTTAATAAACAATTTGCAAATTGGGCTAACATTTTTTTTTTTGCGTGTGTGTAGGTGGTTTTTAAAAAACTTTTTATGGTGAATTGAGTGAAGGTTTACAGAGCAAATCATCAGTTGTACAACAAGTCATACACTTTGTTTCATCTCAATGACTGTAATCCCCTCCAAGTAAACAGTTATCTCACTTCCTCCTGTGGTTCTTATTTCCATTCCTCTGTCCTTCCCAATGCTTCTGAATTTTGTTCTTAAGTAAATGTTGCCCTTTGAATCTTGAATGGCTGATCATTCCATGGTGAACATACCTATCTGCTGCTTAGCTGAAAATTGGGCTATGAAGATGAGTTCCATTCCAGATCTCAAGAGTGGCCGAGGTCCATAGTCTCCAACTCCTCCAGTCTGTTTCTGACTAGTAAGCCCAGTCTTTTTTATAATGTTGACTTTTGTTCCATATTTTCTCCTACTTTATCTGGGACATTCTAATGAGTACATTTTCATAGCAGTTGGTAGTGGTAGCCAGTCATCATCTAGTTGTGATCTCAGGATTGTGGAGACTAGAGGATGACATTTTGACTGGTGTTAAGTGCCTTTCAGTTGGTTCTGACTCACAGTGACCTTGCATAGGGTTTCAGAGGAGCAGTTGGTGAGTTTGAACTGCCTGCCGACTCTGTGTTTCAAATTGACCCTGTGCCATACCAGAACTCCAATGTTTTTGACCCTCTAGTCAAAAATACTTACTGAAGAAGATAAAAAACCACAGCCTTCATTATAGGTTGCACCTCATTATAAAGAAACAAAAATCCTCACCACTGGACCAATAAACAACATCCATATCAATGGAGAAAAGATTGAAGTTGCCAAAGACTTCATTTTGCTTAGGTCAATCATCAACACTCTTGGAAGTTGCAGTCAAGAAATCAAACGGTGTATTGCATTAGGCAAATCTTCTGCACAAGACCTTTATAAAGTGTTGAAGAGCAAAGATGTCAGTTTGAGAACTAAGGTGTGCTTGACCCAAGCCATGGAATTTTCAGCAACCTCATATGCATGTGATAGGTGGGCAGTGAATAAGGTAGACTGTAGAAAAATTAATGCATTTGAATTATGGTGTTGGAGGAGAATATTGAAAGTACCATGGACTTCCAAAAGAACAAACTTGGAAGAAGTACAACCAGAATGCTCCTTAGAAGCCAGGATGGCCAGACTCTGTCTCACATACTTCAGACATATTGTCAGGAGGGGCCAGTCGCTGGAGAAGGGTATCATGTTTGGTATGGTGGAGGGTCAGAGAAAAAGAGGAAAACCCCCAGCGAGATGGATTGGCAAAGTAACAGCATCAATGGGCTCAAGCGTGGCAAAAATTGTGAGGTTGATCCAGGACCAGGCAGTGTTTCCTTCTGTTGTGCATAGGGTCTCTATGAGTCGGTACAAATTTGATGGCACCTAACAACAACAACAACAACAACAAATGAGTCACAATCAAATTGATGGCAGTGAGTGTGGTTTGGTGGTTTATTCTTTGACTTAACGGTGACTTTTAGGAGAGCAGTTTGCTCAAGTCTCTAAGTACAAAAGATCACCTAAGGGCAGTAGCGTTAACTCCATGGACCCCAGAGATGCAGGAGAATTAAAACTGTTTCTCATTTCTTTAACCTCAGTTTTCTGTCTTTGAGACAGATTTATATTTGAAAAAGATGCTTATATCTCCTTACTACTGGGCACCTAGTTCATATGTTTCTGGGTATAATTGAAACTTCTTGAAAGACTTGGAGCTCACCTTCTACCATCCGCACTGTACTCCTGCACCAACATTTCCTTTCATTTCTATTATCAATATGATATACTGTCATCATTGTTCAGTGCCCTTGAGTCAGTTCCTAATCATAGTGACTCTGTCTAGGATTTCTGAGGAATGGCTGGTGGATTTGAACTGCAGATCTGGCAGTTAGCAGTCCAGTGTTTATTCTATAGTGCCACGTCAGGACTCTTAATATATTGCTGTTGTTGTTAAGTGCCGTCTAGTCAGTTCTGACCCATAGCGACCCTGTATAGGGTTTCTGAGGAATGATTGATGAGTTTGAACCTCTGACCTTGTGGTTCAAATCGACTTTACAGTTCAACGAATTAAGTCATAGCACCACACCAGGACTTCTAATATACTGCATACATAAGCAATTCCCTGCAATTATAGACTGTTCCTCCTTTTTGGCTCCATTCCCAATTTCTGATTAAGGAAACAGACAAAGAAATATGTCTTGCAGTTAAAAGGAAGTTTTAATCTGCTGGAACGAAAAAACCTTGAGTTATCTTCAGTAGAATTTCAGAGTTGAAAAATGACATTGGAAAGTGGGAAATCAAAATTGAAAGAGCTACTTGTGAATATGTTGGGATTCAATTCCTATACAAAATATACCGTTTGAATGATAAAAGACTAACAAATAGACCAGTAAATAAGATTAAGAAATCAGTAGGCTGATAAAGCTCCTTTTCTGCCCCATTGACTCAGCCTCCCTTCTAGTTGTTGTTAGGTGCTATTGAGTCGGTACTGACTCATAGCGACCTTATGCACAGCAGAATGAAACACTTCCCCGTCCTGGGCCAACCTCACTACTGTTGCCACACTTGAGTCCATTGATGTTGCCACCTTGTGAATCCATCTCATCTTCCTCTTTTTCTCTGACCCTCTACCTTATCAAACATGATATCCTTCTCCAGCGACTGGTCCCTCCTGACAATATGTTCAAAGTATGATAGACGAAGTTTGGCCACCCTGGCCTCAAGGAGCACTCTGGCTGCACTTCTTCCAAAACAGATCTATTGTTTCTTTTGGCAGCCCATGGCACTTTCAATAGTCTCCTCCAACACCATAACTCAATGCGTTAATTCTTCTAGGGTCTTCCTTATTCACTGTCCAGCTTTTGCATGCATATGAGGTTATTGAAAATACCATGGCTTGGGTCAGGCACACCTTAGTCCTGAAGCTGACATCTTTGTTCTTCAATACTTTAAAATGGTCTTGTGCAGCAGATTTGCCTAATGCAATACATCGTTTGATTTCTTGACTGCTGCTTCCAGGAGTGTTGATAGTTGATCCAAGAAGAATGAAGTCATTGACAACTTCAATCTTTTTTCCGTTGATAAGAATGTTGTTTATTGGTCCAGTGGTGAGGATTTTTGTTTTCTTTACATTGAAGTACAACCTATACTGAAGGCTTCATCAGTATTTTAAGTCCTCTTCGCTTTCAGCAAGCAAGGTTGTATCATCTGCATATCATAGGTTGTTAATGAGTTTTCCTCCAATCCTGATGCCATGTTTTTCTTCATATAATCCAGTTTCTTGGATTATTTGTTCGGCATACAGATTGATTAAATATGGCAAAAGAATACAATACTGGCATACTCATTTCCTAATTTTAAACCATATGGTGTTCCCTTGTTCTGTTCACACAACTGCTTTTTGGTCTATGTACAGATTCCTCATTAGCACAATTAAGTGTTCTGGAATAGTCATACTTCACAATGTTGTTCATAGCTTGACATGATCCACACAATCAAAAGCCTTTGCATAGTCAATAAAGCAGTAGTAAATATCTTTCTGGTATTCTCTGCTTTCAGCTAAGATCCATCTGACGTCAGCAATGATATCCTTTGTTCCATGTCCTCTTCTGAATCAAACTTGAACCTTTGGAAGTTCTCTGTCAATGTGTGGTTACAGCCGTTTCTGTATTACTGTTAGTAAAACTTTGCTTGCATGGGATATCAATGATACTGTCTGATGATTTCTGCATTCCATTGGGTCGCCTCTTTTTGAAATGGGCACAAACACGGATCCCTTCCAACCAGTAGGCCAGTAGAACACAACTACTATAAATAATAATGAGAATTGGCTATATCTATTAACCACTTAAAAATGGTTATTGCTAAAAGGTAGACTCTGAAGGACTTTTGCTTTTATCTTATATAATTCTTTAATATTTGAGTAGTTATAGGTACAATTGTACTTCCTAGAATTTATCCTAAGAAAACAATGAAATATGTACACAGAAATTTACATGGATATATATTATGACATTGTAAAAGAAACAAACTGTGAGCAATCTAAATGTCCTGCAATAAAGGACTCATTTGCTAATTATTGCATATCATTAAAATAGCGTTCTAGAAGAATTGTAAAAATACACATTTTGTTTTCAATGAAAGTTTATAGAGCAAAATAGGTTTCTACTTAACAATTACTCTACAAATTGTTCAGAGATGTTGGTTATATTTTTCACAATGTGTTATCATTGTCACTAATTCTATTCTGGATGTCTGGTTACAGTAATCTGGTTACCCTTTCATTTTGTTTTAGAGTAATTGTTGACTGTTTGGTCTCATGTAGATTACTTTTTTTTAAAGGTGTGTGGTACTCATGGTAATACTCTTTATTTTATGAAGTAGTCTATTGTTTACTTAAAAGGGGATCTCAAAGGGTATTTTTGGTTCAAGGTTTATGACGTATGTCTGGTTGGTCTTCTAGGACAGTTTGCTAGTCTCAGCAGACCTGTAAGTTGGGAATTTCTAGGAATCTGAGTTCTGTTCCACATGATTCCTCCCTTTTTATCAGAATCTGTTTCAATATGGTCAAGAAGAACTTTTAATGGCAGGTAAAGATGATCATAATATTTTAATTGAAAAAAGTAGGCTACAACCTAAATATAAAAATTATTGTTTCCTCCAGGTTATAAAACAATGGTCTCCTTTTTGTTTAAAAAACCCCCAAAACTCTAAATATTTCATTTTCCTATATTTGTAGTTAAAAAATTACTTTTATATTTCTTCTCAGCAAATCTTCTCCAAAGATAAGGAAACCAAGGTCCAAAAATATTAAATAGCTTTTTACCTTGTCCAATTCATTAATTACATCTGTTCTTTAAAAAACAAACAAACAAATAAACAAAAAAACTTCATATTGTTATTTGGCAATCTGTTCTTGATAATTCCAATTGCTCAAATTCTTGGGGGTGAAATTCTGCTGTGTGTTGTTTCAGCTGACTTTCATTCATGGTAGCTAGGTTCCTTGTATTTTTTGGTGATTTTAAAAAATTGTATGCTTATATTTGATTGAATTTAATATATATGAATCAATAATATATTAAGATTGCTTTTCTACAGAGATAATTTGGATTTTCTTGGTTTGGAAGTCAGGTAAGTGACTACTAGGGTACATTTTAGCTCCTTTTAGGTTTTATTTTAGCCTTACACTCCCTTATATGGCAAGCTCCCTGGCTTCCTGTCCTGAACCCAGGGTTGATACTGTTATTTAGCACCTGATTTGAAAGTGGATTCACTTTTATTTTAGTTCACTGTATTTTGCAATGTTTTAAGAGGTATTCTAGTATTTATTCAGGATCTCGTTGTATTATAACAGGAACACAGTTTGCCATCCTGCTAGAAGTAGCAGTGAGACAAGAAGTTTCCCACTACACTGCAACTCACAGCTTCATATAGTGAATTCATTATTCATTTACTTCCTTGAACATTCATTCGTTTAATATTTACTGAGTACCTATGCCATTTAGACTCTATGCAAGTGCTTTCAGCTACATAGTATGTGAGTATTTGCATACCTTTTTTAGTGGGTAGGACCATATTTTCCCTCAAATATATGTGAATCTTTCTGAGCTTCATATAAATAAAAAGCCATCAGTTACTGAAGTTTAGAGCATCAAGCAGGATCCACCAATAAGAATCCTAATAACAATCATAGTAATTTTAGCAAAAACTGTGGCAGCAGTAACAGGAACTATTAGATTGGTAGCAGGTTAATGATAATTAAGATGCCTATAAAGTACTTAAGGAGCTCTGGTAGCATAGTGGTTACGAATCGGGCTGCTAACTGCAGGGTCGGCAGTTCAAAACTACCAGCTGTTCCGCTGGAGAAAGATGAGGCTTTCTGCTCCCTTAAAGATTTACAGCCTCGGAAACCCTGTACAAGGTTGCTATGAGTCAGAACCGACTCCATAGTACTTAACAACAACAACATAAAGTACTTGGAACTTCTTTGAAGAAAATCCGCTGATAAACATAAAATACTAATTTTAGTCTAGTTTGAGTATTATGACAACCATAGTAGACAGCTAGAAAAACAAATTTCAGAGTATCATTTTTCACTGGTAATTCAGTAGTATTCCAGAAAACGTAGTGGTGCCTTAGTTGTGTGCCAGAACAAGAGAGAAAATCTCTGCCGCTTACGGTCCCACTTTAGTGTGAGAGGCAAATAAGAAAACGAACAATTAGAATACAGTGTGCTAAGTGTCGTTTGTGCCCATTCCAAAGAGAGGTGACCCAACGGAATGCGGAAATCATCGGACAATCTCTTTGATATCTCAAGCAAGCAAAGTTTTGCTCAAG